TGTAGCACTTTGAGGCTTAATTCGGGATGATTGTAGAGTATTAAGTATTAGAAAAGAAAAAAAAATAGTATTAGACCAATTACCTTGTGCTTAGATGGCATCTCTGTGGCTCCCCTTGAGAAAAGGTCACAGGATCGAACTCCGGTGGTAGGATAGCTGCATTAGTTAGAGAAAGTATACAGCAGATACTACCTTGTAATAAAGCCTCAAGCTTATGGTCCACTGGTATCCGGTTGTCCACATAGATAGTATAATCAAGCTCAGAAATATGTAATAAAGCCTCGAGTCGTTATGCTGTGCATCCGTATGCACCATAAAAAACGACGTCGTTTTATTAAAAACGCGCGTCTCCCTTTAAAAAAAAAAAAAAAATTCAGGTTCGATTCCCCGCAACAGCATTATGTTGTTCATAGATTATGGAATTTTAGTTCATTGATTCTGGAATTATAGTTCATCGATTCTTGAATTGTAATTCATCGATTCTGAAATTTTAATTCATAGATTCTGGAATTTTAGTTCATTCATTCTGAAATTTTTAGTTCATAGATTAGATTCTGGAATTATAGTTCATCGATTATGGAATTATAGTTCATCGATTATGGAATTATAGTTTATCGATTCTGGAATTTTAGTTCATATGTTATTGCTGAGAGTCGAACGTATGGTAGGCGGCAACCGAATACCATGAAAGAAGACATTGGATCAAAAAGTGAATTAAGCTTCTATTGATCTTCAACTGCCTTTGGGGATGGAGATTCAACCTCTTAATACAAATATGTTGAGTTTTATGAAAATCTCCTTTCATTGAATTTATTTGACACTATGTACATGAATTAAAAAGTTAAAATGTACGGAGTACTATTCCACGCACCTACAATTCAATGCTCCAAGTCAAATTCACCACATTTCATCACTTTCTTGTCCCAATTCTACCCTTCTCCATCTTCATCCTAAGCAAGGCATGCAACTAAAAATTCACCATCCAATCTGTCAACCACCGCCGGCCGCCGCCATTTCTTCAGCCCACGCCCCCACCTTGCTGAAACACTTGACTAGACCCTCACCAACTTCCCTTATTAATTATAACATGTACACATTATCTCGTAGAATACTCTCAACATGTACACCAAATCAATCCCAATGAAAAGTCCACAAATTATTAATTAAAATTAGGTAAGGAGATGAAGGTTTGACCAAATAATTAATACAGATTTTGCTTATTCTTATTAGCTAAGAAAGATTCATGTTCGGCTACCTCAAACACAATGTGAAACAAATGGAGATCGAACACAGCGTACTCGATCGGCAGAAGATGTCGGACGGGAATCCACGACGGCTGCCGACACTGCATCTGCTCTTATTAAGACCATTTCTCGCTATCCCAAAGTTTGGCCAGCCGGTTCAACTCGTTTGATTTAAGAGAAAGCTCATAGTCGTCATTATTTGAAAGTAAAAATTGGGTAAAGTTTACATTGTAAGTCTAAATGATAAATGATCATAAAAAGATAAATTAGTCTAGATTATTTATAGTTAATTGATTCAAATTAAAAAAAAAATTAATAGATAACTTTTAAGAACATGAAGTCAGCCTGTTCATACTCAACTCCAACCTATATATACAATACTAGCTGAATATTCCTTTAACTTCATACTTAATGTAGTAGGACATACTAACAATTTCCTGAAGAAAAATGATGTATGAACACTTATAGAATAGAACTTGAGTTAGGTATCATGATATTATTGATTGAAGAACAAGTAAAATGAATTAACAATTGAATATAAATTACAATTAGGTACGGATAATATTAATCTTTACTAAATGCATAAAACTAGTCTTTTTCTAGGCAATTTATATCGTGCATCACGGCGCACATCGCAATGTGCGTCCAGACACAAAACGTGCGCGTTTTTTGCTGATGTCACTATGTCCGTCCGAACAGACCAAATCCCATTATATGTATTCAGTTAAAATTTCATGTGTATTGTATTATGAGTTTATGTGTATTCAGTTAAGAGTTTATGTGTATTATGTTAACCAAACCCCATTATGTGTATTCAGTTAAAAGTTTATGTGTACTGTGTTATGAAGTTATGTGTATTCAGTTAAGAGTTTATGTGTATTATGTTAACCAAACCCCATTATGTGTATTCAGTTAAAAGTTTATGTGTATTATGTATTATGTTAGATTATGTGTATTCTGTTGTGAGTTTATGTGCATTCGAAACATAAGACTTTTTTTAACAACTTAACAAAACAACATCATTTTGGGAGGCGCGGGACGCACAGTGCTATATGTATCGTAGTGCACGATTGCTTTTTCTATTATTGGGCTTCATTCCTGCAATTGTGCATGCTTTATTGGCAAATTATATCGTGGACCCTAGTTGAAGATATATATAATCATTACGCTTTACTAGTTTGGGCTAATGATTGTGGTCGACTATGGTGTATAGAGTTGTGTGGACAATGGTCAATGCAATTGTTATGCCGTGAAATCATGTCTATCTTGCAAGGTGGACATGGTTCCAATACGATGTTGTTTGGTAATTTTACAGTAACGATGTGGTTAGTGGCATTGTTTTTCTGCACCAATCAGAATTTTTTTTAAAAAAAGTTAAGAATTAGGTTTTTAATTTTTAAAATTAAAAATTATACTATTTTTTTTTAAAGATTTTGTCTAATTAGAATTGACCGAGAATGGGATTCCCTGTTCCCACCTAATTCTCCGCAAGGATAGGGATGTGGACTATTTTTAATTTTCTAGTGGGGATGGGGACGGGTAGTATACTCACCGTCCACGCCCCGTTGTCATTCCTAACTGTTATGTGTTTTGACTTATAAAACATAATTTATATTCTAAAAATTCATAACTCCAATACTTAAAAAACACAATTTATACATCATTTAGAATTAGGATCCACTGGGCAAGGTGTACCATAGTGCATTGTATAACAACTCGCAAATTATATCATGGACTAGGGTTCATGATATAAGAATGGGCTTTACTAGTTGGGTCTTATAGTTCTGGGAGGTGGGTTTGAGAATTGATGTTGGGCTGAGTTTAATTGCAGGCTTGGGCTCAAAAGGATGGCTGTTTTGAAAGTGGGGGTTCATTCTTTGGATATTTTAACTTCATTGAGCTTAGTGGATTATTGGGGCAAATTATTGTAAGGTGGACATGGTTCTAAAATTGACAAATCATGCTATGGTCCCGTGTTTATCATGTGCATGGTGAACACATTGTACATTCATAATTTTTATACTGTAGATTCATAATTTTTATATTGTAGATTTATAATTTTTAAATTGTAGATCCATAATTTCTATACTGTAGATTTATAAAATCTATACTGTAGATTCATAATTTCTATACTGCACATTCATAATTTCTGCATTGTATGAATCTACATTATAAATTTTATGATACTGTAGATTCATAATTTCTATACTGTAGATTCATAAAATTTATAATGTAGATTCATAATTTCTATACTGCACATTCATAATTTATGTACTGTAGATTCATAATTTCTATACTGCACATTCATAATTTCTCTACTGTAGATTCATAATTTCTGTACTAATTATGAATGTATAGTTATGAAGTTATGAATATGTAGTTATGCAATTCTGGATGTATAGTTATGGATGTGTAGTTATGCATGTAATTCTGAATATATAGTTATGAAGTTATGGATTGTAATTATGCAATTCTGAATATATAGTTATGAAGTTATGGATGTGTAGTTATGCATGCAATTCTGAATGTATAGTTATGAAGTTATGGATGTATAGTTATGCAATTCTGAATGTATAGTAATGAAGTTATGGATGTGTAGTTATGCAATTCTGAATGTATAGTTATGAAGTTAATGGATGTGTAGTTATGCAATTTCGAATGTATAGTTATGAAGTTATGGATGCTTAGTTATGCAATTCTGAATGTATAGTAATGAAGTTATGGATGTGTGTGTATATATGCAATTCTGAATGTATAGTTATGAAGTTAATGGATGTGTAGTTATGCAATTCTGAATGTATAGTTATGAAGTTATGGATGTTTAGTTATGCAATTCTGAATGTATAGTTATGAAGTTATGGATGTATAGTTCAAATTATGCATAACATAACGCCGTTAACAGCAATCGAAACTGATTTTTTTTTTTTAAAGTTGGACGTCAAAACGACGTCATTTTTACAACCGTGTGCACCATGAACAGCATAACTACTCACCCCAAATTATGTTGTGGAACCGTGTCCACCTTGTAAGGTGAACACAATTACAAAACTGTTCATAATTTTGAATATAGTTCAAAAATTATGAACATATAGTTCTATAATTATGAATATAGAGTTGTGAACATAATTATGAACATATAGTTCTGCAATTATGAATATAGAGATTCAATAACTGTGAATATAAAGTTCAAAAATTATGAATAATTGTGATTAACAATGGTCTAAATCTGCTCATACAAAATTTTAGATTATAATTCTCTTATAATTATTATTCAAATATATTTTAAAAAAATCTAATTGTATTACTATATTGTATATGTATATTTTTTTCCTATTTTTAATATATTTTATTTTTTAATTGTAGCTAATTAGAATAAATTCCACATATCAATTGTATCTAATTACTCCCTCAAAATTAATCTTACTAGATATTAAAAAGGTTATGTAACATTTCAAGTAGGTGTAAACTCTATAAAAAAATTAAAGAAGAAAAAAAACTACAAAGTATTGAGATCATACGAAGGTAGAAAAATTAAGAAAGAAGAAAGGACAGAGATAATAAGAATGATTAATCTATAATTCAATAACATTCTTAATTACACGAGTGATAATGTGTAAACATAAATAATTATATATGATTCTAACACTAATACAAACTAAATCTATAATACTAATACATATATCTATAATTCTAAATATATTATAAATTTACATTTGTGAATTGTGATGGTCATATGAATAAAACTCAATACTTGTCTCAACGACGAAGGAAATGTTGGAACCAGTGAGCCGACATCTTAGGATATCTCTTTCTCTCGAGTGTGTTGAAATCAATATACACAATTCCGAACCTTGAAGTGTATCCCAATCTCCATTCAAAGTTGTCGACCAATGACCATGCAAAGTACGCAAACAAGTTGGCTCCTTCATCTACTGTCCTCTTCACTTCACCTAAATAGCTCTTGTAGTAACTGATTCTTTTTGTGTCGTTCAATGATTCAGCTAAGCTGAGATTGCCAACATAATCCATCCCTACAGTAAACCCAGAAATTTCTTTAAATGCTAACTCCAAAACCATGATATATATATATATATATATATATATATATATATATATATATATATATATAGGTTTGCATTCAGAGTTTGAATCTTACCATTTTCAGCAATAAACATACGAGGATTGCCGTATTGTTCTTTTACATAGGTTACTGCCTAGCTTGTACAATCCCCATGGCACCATGTACAGCCAGTCTGAATTTGCCTATAAACATTAACCACAAAACATTCAAAAATAAAACTTATTATATGTCATAAGTACTTTGTAGTGATGGTACTGGTCCACAGCCACATCTCCAGTGGCATTATTAGGCTCAAGTCCTGTACAAAATCAAATCACATGCTTCAGTTTCATTGAAATTACTACAATCTAATCAGAAATCAATAAATTGCATTAATAAAAACATATCAGATGAGAGAACAAATTAAAGAATGTAGTGTATTTATTAGCAGGAGTTTTAATGAAGCTGTCCCAAATACTAGGTCCACGACCACACTTATGAACGTCAGTGGCACCTTCCACTTGGTAAGCCGAGGTGGCGGTGCCGAAAACAAACCCCTGCGGAAAGCTCTTTCTGCTCAGCCCACTGCTGTTGCATTCAACTAAACTACTTACAGTGCTAAGCACCAATAACAGTAACAACAATCTCGCCATCTTTGAAAACAAAGAAAAAATGAATTGTAGCTACAATTGTATGTGCAGTGGAGGGAAGTATGAATGAGCTAGAAGGCAGGTTGGGGGTGTATTTATAGTATTAAGATTCAGTAGACATATTGTAGTAATTATTGTTGTAGTCTGATTAGGTTATTACAATTACACATATAACATATTGTAGTAGGAATCCTGTAATTCGTGTTGTAGTCTGATTAGGTTATTATAATCACATATACTTTAATTCTTGTTCTAGTCTGATTACCTTATATCATATGCTTTAGTGTGGCCAATAATTTTACTCCTTAGTCAATTTAACTTGTTCCACAACTTTACTGGGAAAAAATTATCCTCACATATATGCTTTTATTATACTTATTAATTAATAATTAATTATTGATTTATTTTTATTCGAATTTCTTTTACTACAAAATAATTATACGAAACTACATATACCAAAATTATATTAGGTTTCTACAATTATAGCTAATTTCTATAAAAAAAAATTAAAAATTAAAAAAAAAAACAATTATAGCTAATTTGTTTTTTTTTTTTTTTATTTTTTATTTTCACATCATTTTTATTTTTAATTCCTATTTCTATTGTTGGAATTATAATATATATGAAATTACAATTACGAATAAATCAATTTAATTAGGTAAACTTTGTTTATAAATTTATCTAAATTTGTTCATGATCAGGAACTATATTAAGTATTAACCATACAAAATTATTTTTATTTTAATTTTGTATGATATGAAAATAGATAGTTGACCAAATATATGGGAAGTCCAACTATATTATTATATTGTACATTTTAACATCTTTTCATTTTTTTTAAAAAATTCATAATAACATAATTTTTCCGGTAAAACACTAGTAATAATGCTAAAGAAAGGGTTAAACATTAAGGCAAAAACTTGTGCGAGACCGTCTCATGTGAATTGAAAGGGATACAAAGAGAGAGGACTTTTAGAAATGAATCGTAAGTCATAGTCTTGTGTACCTTTAAGGTAGCGAAGAATTCGCTTGACTGCTTTAAGATGTAGTTCTGTGGGGGAGTTGAAGAATTGACAAACTTTATTGACAGCATGTTGAATGTCTGGCCAAGTGAATGTGAGGTATTGAAGAGCACCAATAATATTTCTATAATAAGTAGCATCTACACCATTTTGTTTTGACATATTTTCTTTTTCTTTGAGAACCATAGGAGTAGCATTAGGAGTACAATTTGTCATCCTTGTATGGTTGAGAAGATCCTTGATATATTTGCCTTGAGAGAGAATGACTCCTCCATTGAAGTATTTAATTTCCACACCTAAAAAAAAATGTTAGACATCCAAGATCCTGTATAGCAAATTCTTCACTTAATTGATGAATTAAGTTAGAGATGAAGGAGTCATTATTTCTAGTCACCAATATGTCATCTACATAGATGAGAAGCAATATTGTAACAGAATTTTGACGATAAATAAATAAAGAAGAATCAGCCTTACTACAATAAAACCCAAGATGAAGAAGAAATCGAGATAAGCGATCAAACCAATTAAGCTCGAGGAGCTTGCTTTCGCCCATAAAGGGACTTGTGAAGAAGGCACACATGATTAGGTTTGTGTGGATCCACAAAACCAGGGGGTTGTTCGATATACACAATCTCCTTTAAATTTCCATGCAAAAAGGCGTTCTTCACATCCAGTTGTTTCATGTGCCAATTTAGAGAAGTTGAAAGTGCTATCACAAGACGAATAGTAGTATGACGAATAACTGGACCGTAAGTCTCATCAAAATCAATACCTGAGACTTGTGTAAAACCACGGGCAACCAGACAAGCCTTGAAGCGCTCAATAGATCCATCCTCTCGTTGCTTTATACGATAAATCCATTTTGACCCAACCACATTTACATTTTTGGGTCGAGGAACTAGTGACCAGGTTTGGTTAGAGTGAAGGGCATGTAGTTCCTCTTCCATAGCCATAACCCATCGAGGATCTTTAGGAGCAACATGATAATTACGAGGTTCAACAGGTAACTCGACTTGAGATAGATAGCATTCATAATCTTGTAGATGTTTTGGAGGTTGCCTATGGCGTTGAGGATGAACATAATTTTCACTTTCATTATTGCCAATATGTGTATCAACAATATGCCCAGGCAAGTCATTTAGCAAAGTGAGAGTTTGTGTATCTACCGGTTCAGCTGCAACTAAGGTTTCATCTGCATAACACACATTAACATCAGGCAAAACTCCATCATTGTCAGGAGATTCAACATTATTATCATTATAATATCTGTCATGATCATTATTTTCATCACAACAATCAGTAGTAGTTATAATAGATGTTTGAGTTGCTGACTCTGCATTTGTTCCCACCTTTGGAGGTTCAGCTTCAAGAGTGACTTTAAACCATTCATCATGTGCTGGAAATTCAACAAAATATAATGGCACAGGAATTGCTTCTTGAGGAGAGGGTTTATAGATGAATTTACCTTCATCGAAGACAATGCGTCTGGATATATATACTCTTTTGTTCGAGGTTCATATCACCTATAACCCTTGTGAATAGGACTATAACCAATAAATACACAACGATAAGTTTTCTTAACAAATTTATTACCTCCTTGATGTCTTAGAGAAGGAAAGCATAAGAATCCAAACATTCGCAAACTTTTGTAATTTGGTTCTTTGTGATATAGTTTAGAGTATGGAGATTGATTGTGTAAAACTGAAGTTGGCATTCTGTTGATTAAATAGACAGCTGCAATAAAAGCTTCAACCCATAAAAATAAAGGTAAGTTAGCATGAAATAACATAGTTAAACCTGTCTCAACAATGTGCCGATGCTTTCTCTCGGCCACTCCGTTTTGCTCAGGTGTTCTAGGGCATGAAACCTGGAGCTGAATACCACAATTACTAATATGACTGAGAAAATCAAAGGAGTTAAATTCTCCACCACCATCACATTGAAATTTTTTTATTTTTCTATATATCAAATTGATTTTCTACTAATTTTTGAAATTTTTGAAAACAAAGAAAAAAAATCTGACTTTTTCTTTAAAGGATACAACCAAGAAAACCTTGAAAAATCATCTATAAATCTATAAATATAACATAAAACCGAAATCCTTGATTTGAAACAGTAGGAGCTGGTCCCCAATGATCACAATGAACTTTCTGTAAAGGATAACTAGATATATCATTATTCAAATTAAAAAGTAATTTACAACTCTTTCCAGATTGGCAACTAGCACAAATAGATGACTTAGTTTGCCAATTAGTGACATCAATGACTTTCTTTCCTTTTAACATAGATAAAATCTTTTCACTTCGATGTCCAAGGCGTTGGTGCCACAAAGAAAAAGAGTTGTACCCTTTTATTGCAAATAAAGCTTCTTGAAAACCAGGTTCCAAAGCATAGACTTGTGCTTGTCTATGCCCCTTCCCGATTGTTCTCTTGTTTTGATCCTTAATAACAAAATCAGATGGTGTGAATTCAACAGTACAAAAATTATCACTAGTGATTTTGCTTACTGAAATTAAATTCTTTTTCAGTTCCGGAACAACAAGAACATCTTTTAAATTTAATTCCCCAACACATGCATTTCCAGTATGTGTTATATCAAGTTTGTTTCCGTTTCCAACATAGATAACATCATTTCCTTTATATGGTTTTGTATAAGACAACATACCTGCGTTGTTGGTCATGTGAGCTGTAGCTCCCGAGTCCATGTAAAAAGAATGATCATTGTTGTTTAAGGTGAGTGCTACCAATGCTTGTGGTAGATCTTCTGATTGATAGGAATAGTCAAATCTATACCAACAATCAAGAGCAATGTGATTCAGCTTACCACATATTTGACATGTTGGTTTGTCACCTTTTGATTGCTGAACAATTTCATTTGTTCGATCCTTTTGAATTGAAGCTATTGGAACCAGTATTGTTGTAACGTCCTGCCGGAGTAAATCCTCTACCTCTTGAATTAAAACTCCCGCGACGTCCACGTCCACGTCCACGTTGGCTAAAGAGTGCTTGATTATATTCAATATAATTTTTCTCTTCTTCTTTTTGAGAGGCTAGGGTCTGCTCATACCACTGAAGAGCAAGTAAAAATTGATTAAATTTAGGATAAGGAGGTTTAGTTACCATAGCTAGGTGGAAGCTTTCATATTTTTCTCCTAGTCCACGTGCAAATTGAAAAACTTTATCAAGATCATCCACATGTTTCTTGATAGCTGCTAGGTTGTCGCAGATCGATTTAAATTCTTTTGTAGTCATCTACGGATCGCGATCCTTTCTTGATGGTCATCAACATATTTTTCAAAATACCTTCCTTTTCAATTGTGATTGGCAGCAATTGTTCTTCTAAAGAACTCCACAAATCATAAGCAGTAGCATCTTCTACAATGGATGGTTGAGCTTCTTCTTTTATTGTGCCAAGCAACCATGAAATAAGAAGACCATCATTTGTTAACCACAAGGTATATGTTGGATTCACAACCCCATCTTTTAGCAAACGTTCAGGTTTGTCATCATTATTTTCCAAATGATG